GAATTTGGACATTTCCAAGACTGATTGCAGTGAAAAGATCAGATCTTTACAAATAGAAAGTGAATTCCCAAATATCCATAAAGAGAAATTTGAAAAAAACTCATCTTCTAGCTATGCTGTGATGAGAAATTCATTCCCAGTAAGGATCTGTTTTATTAATCATATACGTGTTATGTAGTAATTTTCCATTTTTTTTAGGTATTAGTGTTTATTTTATCTCTTTTACCTGTTGGGCTAAGTTTTGTTGGGTTGGGTGGAGTTAGGGGTACAAGGGGTTCATGTGAATCCCTGTTTACACTAAAGGTCAATTTTTTTTATGTATATATGAAATGAGCTTAAATGAAGAAGTGAGGATTCATATAGCTGATCTCTAACTTGTTTGGGATTGAAGCATAGATGTTGTTGTTGTTTATATGTGGTAGATGTTGAATTCCCTTGATCTCTTCATGTGTTTACTTTTTCTTATGTATGTATGAAATGAGCTTAAATGAAGAAGTGATGATTCATATAGTCATCCCTAACTTGTTTGGGATTGAAGCATAGTGTTGTTGTGTATATGTGGTAGATGTTGAATTCACTTGATCTCTTCGTGTGCTTACTTTTTTATATTATGAATACTTTTAGTGAGAATTTTGGCTCCCCCAGTTAGTTTGCATGTGGATGTTGAGAGGTGTTACTTGTTTATAACAACAACATATCCCGTATAATCTCACAAGTGTGATCTGGGTAGGTAGGATGCAACAGACCTTACATCTCTACCTTTGTGGGGTAGAGAGGATATTTCTGATCTGAGGAGGGTAGGATGTACCTAGGACTTACCTCTATTTTTGTGGGGAGGGTTGTTTTTTATAGACGCTCGGCTCAAAAGAAAGAGAGAGGTGTTACTTGTTAGTGTAATTAATTTGGGATCTTTTCAATAAGCTTGCAAGACATAATCTTTTTATGGTATATCAATAGATAGGATTCATATAGTTGACTTCAGCTTATTTAGAATTATGATTTAGAGATGTTTTTGGTTCGAAAATGAATGTTGAGGTCCATTTGGAAATAATTTTCAATAATCTTGCAACATTTAAGTTGTTTTCTGGTATATGGATATAAAGGGTTGATATAGCTGACTCTTAACTAGTATAGATTGAGGTGTACTTCTTGCTGTAATTATGCTTTTTTTGGGTTTGCAAGTGGATGTTGAGAGCTGTTAGTCATAATGAAATTGGTCAATTTGGGATTTTGTTCAATAATCTTGCAAGATTTGATTTTTCTTCTTCTTTTAAGGTGTAGTTACTATCGGAGATGTACTTTGAAGGAACAATAATTGTGTTCTCAATTATCTTTTGTTATTATGCTGGCTTGGGGCTTTCATGTTCCTCTACTATTTGCTATCCTCAACATGTCTTTTTCTTGATTTCTCTTTCTCTTTTCCTTTTTGATTTTGTCAACTTTTCTTAGATAGTCTATTTATTAATTATGGGTGTTTATCTTTTGTAATTTTCACTTCTCGGGATTCTTTCTTCCGGTGAAGTGTGGGATTTGGTAGTTTTTTTCATCTGTTTATACAGTGTTATTTGTCTTTCTGGTAAAAAGTTATTCATAGATGGAAATTCTTGATGATGATTGTAGTTATGTTGCATGAACTCTTCAAAAATAACATCAGATGTGTGTCGGATCTTCCAAAAGTAGTGTATTTTTGGATGATCCGACACAGTGCAGCAGCACTTTTGGAAAGTCCGAGCAACATAGTTGAGTAGTATCACACCTTCATGTCCCTATGCTCCTTCTGTACTGTTTGCTGAAATAACTCTTTTTAGCTTCGTTTCTAAATAGAAAGTTCACTTGAACAGCAGTATAACATTTAAGCTGATTGTGACATGCCTATGAACTTATTCATTACCTTACAATTAAGTTCTTTCCTTTGTTCTTCAGATGGAAAGTATATCTGAGGATACGACTATTGCAGACCGTCAGCATATACTCTACAATAAATTCCTCCCAACTCTTAGGTCCGGAGAGTGGTCTGATATTGGAGGCCGTCATGATATGGAAGATACTCACATCTGTATTGCAGACATGGCTAAGAACTTTGGTCATAGTATTAGTGGTGAGGAAGCTATCTCCTTCTATGGAGTAAGTTCTTTAAACTCATTGAGCATCACGAGCTTTTGTACTTGAATATTTACTCAATTTACTAGTATGTGCATTTGTTCTTTACTCACTATAAGATTTGCTTGTCGTATTGATAAAAAGAATTTCGGGGTAAATGCTATGAAATAGCCAAATCCAGGGGAGAATTAGGACAATGAATAGTTTAGATGTGCAATTAATAATCTCTGCCAAGTTTGAGTGGGGGTGGTGTGAGACTTGAGAGGGTTAGGTATTCTGCCATTGCAAAATAGCGCAAGATTTGTAATAATAATCAAATATAACTATATAAAAAGCATTAGTGATGACTGATGATCTAGAGTTCTCAAATCTTGCATACCCGATCATGACCCCTGCTCACATAAAATAGAAGCCAAAAAGATACCATAATTATTTAGAATTGTAGTCCAACCAACCACACCAGAGAATCACAAAAACCATGAGACATTGTAGTTTATACTTGTCACAGTGTTCGAAAATGAAGCTGCTTGAGCTCAGTACACTCAGCATCTTTACCTATGTGGCCGTGTGGCATAGGAGCTCATACTTGGACCTGCAGGTGTACAAAACTTATCTTATTAGTTACCCATTTAGGACCAAACATATTGTCTAATACTTTACTAGTTTTTAATTGAGAATCACTTTTCGCCTTTATATAGAATAGGATTTCCATAGGAGAGATGGAGGAGAACTCAAAAGATGTAATAAGCCAAGCTTTCTACAAATTTGTAGCATATCTAGTATTCGATATTCTTCGACCTCTGATGCAAATGGTTTTAGTGACAGGTCTTTGATGGACATGGTGGAACGGGAGCAGCACTATTTGTACGCGACTGCTTACCAAGAATCATCGTAGAGGATGCAGATTTCCCTTTGAAGCTCGAAAAAGTGGTCAGTAAATCTTTTTTGGAGACCGATGCTGCTTTTGCCAATTCATGCTCCCTCGATTCTGCCTTGTCCTCAGGCACAACTGCACTCACTGCTATGATATTTGGAAGGTAACAGTCCCTGCATATTGACCTCGTCATACTTCACTATTTTCTCATTTATAGTCCAATACTACGTTGCTCGGACCCTCCAAAAATGCTGCTGAACCCATGTTGGATCCTCCAAATGTGCATAGTTTTGGAGGATCCGATACACAATCGACAGTATTTTTGAAGAGTCTGAGCAACATAGGTTCAATCAACCAGCGTGTTGTCTTAGTATTTTTTAAGCTTTCTTTAGTTTCTCCATATCACATATCTGAGTAAATACCGATAACTCCATACGCTGACTTATTGAGTTGTATCGTTCTTCAAGTAGGGAATTTTGTTGGTTTCATTCATTCTTTATCCTTACAAATTTATCTTCATTGAACTACAGATCAGTGTCTAGTATTAGTTCTTATCTTTCTGTACTATTATCTGATTGGCAGATCATTACTCGTGGCAAATGCCGGTGACTGTCGAGCTGTTCTCTCTCGAGGTGGACTGGCTATAGAAATGTCAAAGGATCACAGACCTTGTTGTGTCAATGAAAGAACACGTGTTGAGTCCTTGGGTGGATTTGTCGATGATGGCTATTTGAATGGACAGTTGGGTGTGACCCGAGCACTGGGTAACTGGCACATCAAGGGACTGAAGGAAGTTGATAAAGGTGGTCCATTGAGTGCTGAACCTGAACTAAAACTGCTTACGCTGACTAAGGAGGACGAGTTCCTGATCATCGGCAGTGATGGAATTTGGGATGTTTTCAGAAACCAAAATGCAGTGGATTTTGCCCGGAGGAGACTGCAAGAGCACAACAATGTGAAATTATGCTGCAAGGAAATAGTAGACGAGGCCAAAAAACGCGGTGCCATAGACAACTTAACAGTAGTCATGGTATGCTTTCATTCCGAGCCACCACCACCTATCGTATTCCAAAGATCAAGAATCAGGAAGTGTATCTCTGCCGAGGGGCTTCAGAATCTGAAATCTTTACTCGAAGGGTAGAGCTATCGCGTACAAAAAATTTAACTATGGCAGCAGTTGAGAACGAATTCGACTTTGTAAACTATCTCTGAGGTAGACCTTGTAATGTTCCAATTTAGAACTGAAGCAGATGGAATAAAAGCTTGAGGGAGAAATGAGCAAGCCATTGAACCAAAAATTTGTAAATAATTCATTCTTCAATTGTATGCACCCTTTACTGAAAGGGCACACATTTAAAATTCAGCTTCTGGTAGCATAAACTTTAGATTATCATTGATTAATATATAGTTATATACTACTTCATTGTTAAAGCAATTATATGATTCTAGTTTTGTGTTGGATGTCAGTCTATCACAACCCGTTAATATAGTTGACCTCAACTTGTTTGAAACACTAAATATCTTGTTGGTAATAACCTTGATAAATGACTTTCATACTTTCTGTTGTCTTGGGGATGTGCGTGTTTGATCCTCCGAAAGTACTTTTGCACATGGTGTGGCAACTTTTTTTAGAGTTCGAACAACATAACAGTGATCTGCTTACATGTGTATAGCCAGCAAGCATCTTTGACCATGTGCCTTCTCTCTCCTTCCCTCATAGATTCTTGAATCTCCGACAGCCAAAATCTCCATGCATGCATTCTTTCTCTCCTCCACTTAAAGATTTTTAAATCTTCGACAGACAGAATCTCCATGCATGCGCTTTATAAGCACAATAGTAGGGCTGCATATCGATCGATTCGATTTTGAAGTTTATCGATTTGACTTATTGGTTATCGATTCGGTTTTGAAGTTTATCGATTTGATTTAGTGCTTACTAGTTCGTTTAACACATTCAGATCACAATTGAATGTAGCAACATGTAAAGTAATAATGTACCAGCACCTATGAGGTTTCAGATTATACATCAACATAAATTTCTTTCATTAATATGTTTCAACGGAACAGAAACACATCCATCTCATGCTACAAGAAACGCAAAAAGGCACAAAAATGATACTCGAAGTCAGCTGAATAGTACAGAATAATATAACAAGTATTCACTGTTCTGTGAAATGTGTATCGCTAAAATGAGATATCCAGAAAAGGACATACAAGAATAACAGCTTCGCGAGTCTACTGTTGAACTCCTCTATAGAGATCTTTAAGAATCTATACAAAAGAATAGGAGCTGCTGCACTACTTCAAAGGTTCAAATCCTGAGCCATTTTCATATTCAAAAAGAGGTATTCGTAGGCTTACCTTCGAGAGGTTCTGAATCACCTTTTAAATGCGCTGATCCAAAGCCATTTCCCTTCGTTCAGCTTTCCTTTAATCTCATTTTTCACGATAGGGATTAAAAATAGGCTTGCAATGAATATTGAAAGAACTAGCATAACAAACACACTGTTCCATCCTCTTGTTGAAATATATCCAGCTAAAAGTGGCCCGAGAGCTGCCCCTACTGAACCAGTACCATCTATAATTGCACTCACCGTAGCTAATGCACGAGAGTTCCCCTTTATCAGGCTCTGAGTACCAAGATCTGCTGAAACTGCTGTGGTAATAAGGGAGTAAGGACCATTGACAAGTGCACCAGAAATGAGCATCAAAGCAATGTTCGTAAACATAGATACACTCCCATATATGCGATAGAAAAGAAGAGAAGGTATGGATAACAACAAGAACACAATGGAAGTAACCCCACGAGCTTCAATTATATCGGATGTGACTCCTGCCAAAACCCCTCCAATGACTCCTCCAATATCAAAAACTGTCGAAAGGATCCCAGCATTTTTGTGAGACAGCTGCACACCAGCAACAACTGCAATAACAACAAAATTTTAAGCATGCAACCCATGGTAGGAGTGGCTGAAACGGAGATTAAAATTTTACACAACTGGACATCTGAACGAACGTTTGTTTGGGTTATCAACATAGAACAGGGAGTACTTCACTCATAAACAAAGCAATTACATGTTAATAGTTATATTAAATCAATAAATTAAGGTCTAATTTTGAACATCATAACTGTTTCAAATGCCCAGGCAAAGGCTTTGCGACCTCTATTCTCGTTCTAGCAGAAGCAAATGAACATACTGTGGAATGCAACAACCATATGTGTCTTTAACTCTCAACTACTCCAATGTAAGTGCAAAGTAACAAGTTCCAATCATTCAAGTCAAGTTATTCACATAGAAAACAGGACGGCAGTGTTTTACAACAAGAAGCAAAAAGGAAACAATCCTAAACTTAATCACATACCACAAAAGAAGTAGTTTTTCCAGTAAAAGTTCTGCGAAATAAGTACCTGTTTGCCTTAAGTAGAAGGGCAACCAATACAAAAATGTGTAAGCCACTAGCTTGGAGAAAAACAAGCAAAACGCAAACGGTGCCACGCCTGGTAACCTCCAGGCTTGTAAGAACCCGATTGCACCAGCACCCTCCATTTCGGGTTCCACAACTCCCTCCTCTTCCACTTCACCCGTCTCCGAGCCCACCAATGCAACTCCCTCCACATTCATCTCAATCTCCTTCGAAGTCAATTCAAGACCAATGTGATCAGGGCTCACTACAAGAAACATGTAAACCAAAGCTGCCACAACCAAAATGAATAAGCCAGGCAATACAAAAGACCAACCCCAACCAAAACTCAACACAGATGAGGCAACTAGAGAACCTATAATATTACCAATAGAGGTATTTGAATTCCACACTCCCATTATCAAACCCCTCTTAGCCTTCCCAAACCAATTTCCCATCACAGCCACAACACAAGGCCACCCAATAGACTGAAAAAGCCCACACAAAATCTGAACAATTAAGAAAAAACCAAGCCAATGCACATCAAGAAAATAACCTAAACCAAAAGCAATCACCAAAACCCCACTACCCAACATTCCAACAGTCAAAAAAATCCTCAAATCAATATTATCACCAATATGTCCAGCAAAATACATCCCAATTGAATATGCTAACAAGAATGCAAGATCAAGCTCCCCTAAACGATGTGGCCCACTAGCACCTTCAAATGGGGCCCATCCAGTTGCAACAATGGTGCTATCTGTACCATTATGAGCTTTGATCTCAGGGCCAAGAACTGATTTTACTATACTAGGTGGTTTCCTAGAGGCATGTAAAGCTGCATATGCTATAAAAGTAAGGAAAAGGACCAAAAATTTGTGGAAAGTTAGAGTCTTTTCTGGTGGATTGAGTGTTGGGAAGAGATTGTGACCTGGCGGTGGCTTTACAGGTGGAACTGAATTAAGGGGCTTGAGTTCCATCATGTTTTTACAATCTCATACATTCAAAATCAAATCTTTGTATGTAATTTGAGTCAATCTGTATATGGGGTTTATGTACAGGCCAAGATTTACTGAGAAAGAAGAACAAGAACAAGAAATTATCCAAAGGGATTTTGAATTTTCCTCTTCTTCTTCTTTTTAAAATGTTTGTTCAGATCTAAACATTCTAAATTAGTCTATGTCGTACAAATTAAGGAAAGAAGAATTTGGGAGTTTTGACTGTCTTCCCGGGAACCTCCCAGGAAATGGCGAAATGCAAATCCCACCCCACCCCACTCCCACCCACCCCAAAATCCACCTAGGTATTTTTTTTATTTTTTTTAAAAATGTTACTAAAATACCCGACTTATTTTATTATATTCTTTAAAAAATTCTACAATTTGAAAAAATACAAAAGATTCTACTCTGACTATTCCCAGATAAATCACTTTTATGCGATCTATAGAGATAGGTGTGTCTTGTATCAACAACGGTAATGTATCAGGATATTGATCGATGTTTTGAGATAGATGTGTCTTGCATCAACAAAAGGTAATGTATCGGGACGCGATGTATATCTGAAATCAAAACGTGATGTATCAGAAATCCTTAATTTTAAGCGATTTTTGTAATTTAAAAAAGAGTAGGAATATAATGTAATTAGCCTTATGAAATTTGGGTGAAATATTTTTTTTTTCTATTTATAGTTTTATTACCTTTTTATATTTGTTTTTGAAGTTTGAATATTGGTTTAAAATATAATTATGAGCTCAAAACTTATGAATTTAATATTTTTCAAGAGTCAAACGGGTTCAAATAATCATTTCCTAATTTAAAAGTAATTAGCCCTTAAGATATGTTAGGAATTACTTCCTCCGTTTAATTTTATTTGTCACATTTAGATTTGACATACTTATTAGTTTTATTTGTCACATTTAGATTTGATATACTCATTGAGAAAACAATATAAAAGTCGTTTGGTGTGATGTATAAGATATAATAATTTCTGGTAAAATATTTTTTTAACCTGCATTTGATTGAATGTATTATGTATTGTTGCACACTAACTATTTTGTTCTTTTCATAAAAGAAAATTCAAAACCTTTTATAGTATAGACGCCTTGTGGATTAGTTAAAACGTTTATCGATCTTTTGATATATAATATTGATACGATATAGAAAAGATTACGATCAAAGATTTCCATTCTACAACAAGGACAATTTGCATTAGACTTGAGCCATGACACTAACACTTTGAATGGAACCTATGACCACAAGGCAATTGCATTAGGTTGTCACACACAATGGCGGAGCCACAGGGGTAACGATCGACACCTCTTTAAAAAATTACATTGTGTTGTTAGAATAAAATTATTTTTATACATATATATAGGGTTGTTCATGGTTATGGTTAAAAAATCAAACCGAACCGCAATCCGAATCAAACTGATTAAAAAATCGATAATTGGTTTGGTTTGGTTTTAAATTTTGAAAACCGATATTATTTGGTTTGGCTTTGATTTTACTAAAAAACAACAACAAAAATAACCAAATTGAACCGATAAATTAGATATATAAATTTTATAGTTATTTATATATTATTCATAAATAAAATATAAATATTTTGTTAAATTTTAATTAACTAAAGTCTTTACTCTACCATGTTCTCAAACCCAACTATAACAATCTTAAGTCTAAATCCATCAAAATCCATTAATCTTTACCTATCAATCTTCACATAAAATAGTCACACTTTCTCCTAATTGAATCACTTTGTTCGTATAATGATAACTCTAGTATCACTTAATAGCTTAATTGAACCGACAATAGTTTTTTTGTGGATTGTTCATGTACTAGGGTTTATGTCTATCGAGATATGTACTTCCTCATAAAGAAATTATTACTTCAAACCGAATAAACCAGAAAAACTAAATCAAACCGAACCAAACTGACGGTTATTTTTTTCGTTTGGTTTGGTTTTAGAAATTTAAAAAACCGACTAGATTGGTTTGGTTTGGTTTTAATCAATAACCGATCCAAACCGAACCACAAACACCCCTACATATATATTACATATTAATATTTCTTGGCTTCTATATGAATTTACAATTTTATATTTTGATACTTCTTAATTGAAATTTTGAATCCGCCTCTGATCACACATAATCCTAAATTGGTCCAAGCAAATGATACATTCATCTTGTTCTGTATATTACAATTTATAAGTATAATTTTTAAATATCCGAATTAATTCAATTGATTTTCAAAAATCGAAACGTGAACAACTATTTTAGAACGGATCCAGTATATACAATACCACTTGTGAATAGCCGCAGATAAGGATATACACACAAAGTTTGTTAACAAAACAGTGGGAACCAAAACAGGTCAATTTGTCCCTTTTCGTCTTTTTCTATGTAAAATCCCCAAATTTTCTTCGCCAATTTCACTCTCAATTCTCAGCTCCAATGGACGAAAACGATGATTTCTCCATATCTACTTCACCTCCATCTCTCAAGCAGAAGCTCAAAAACTCCCTCTGTTTCTCCTGTTGCTTCCCTCACCGCCGTCCTCCGCCGCCGCCGCCGTCATCGTCCGATGAGAATCCGGCGCTGATTTGGGTCAACAACGATGAACCTAGTAACCTTCCGAAATTGAAGGATAAGGTGTTAAACGTTCTGAATTTCGTCGGAACTGGATCGAATCGGCACAAAAGACACGCTTCTACTGTGTTCCGTTACGATCCGATGAGTTATTCGCTGAATTTTGAAGATGGATTTGATGATGATAATGCAGAAATTGCTCCTTTGAGGAATTTCTCTTCTCGACTTCCTCCTTCGCCGCCGGTGAAATCCATGCCAGTGAGGGAAGTAGCTGCTGCAAGTTAAGTGCTTTTGTGTGGTAATTTTACTCTTTTTTGTTGCTTTTTTTCTTTATAGAGATGAAATTACAGTTGAGTTTGATTCTGTACATAGATTTATAATCTTAAAATTCTTGCCTTTTTTCGCTGTTTCTCTGTTTTCTTTGCGTTGCTATGCTTATTATTTGGGACGGGATTTCCCACTTTGGAGGTAAAAACGCTTCTGACGAGCTCATATTCTGAGCTCAAACTCTAGACTATGGGAGAAATTTTTTCGCCGAACTTATATTCAGAGCTCAAACTCGAGATTATGAGATAAAATGCTTTAATGAGCTCATATTCAGAGCTCAAATTCGAGACTATGAGATAAAATGCTTCAATGAGCTCATATTCAAAGCTCAAACTCGAGGCTATGAGATAAAATGCTCCATACTAAATACGAGTTCATATTCAGGTCTTAATTTGAAATCTTTTGCCGAACTTATATTCAGAGCTCAAACTTGAGATTATGAGATAAAATGCTTCAATGAGCTCATATTCAGAGGTCAAATTCGAGACTGAGATAAAATGCTTCAATGAGCTCATATTCAAAGCTCAAACTCGAGGCTATGAGAGAAAATGCTCCATCCTAAATACTTAAGACCTGAGAGTTTAATTCAAATTAAGAATTGAAGAATATTTATCACTCTATCGCAAATCATTTTTACCTCTAATTTAGGGGAGAAAGAAATCAGAACTCAGAGACTGAATTTTGGTTTTGAAAATTTCTATTTGCATTGTATTTCATCTTCATAGTAGAGAAACCATAGAGGCGTGTTCGATTTTAAGTATTCCTTCATTTTTAATAAAAAAAATCTCGCGTTCAAGCTTTGAACATGAAATATCTCTCGTTAGAAAGCACTAATAAGAGACTCCCCAATGCTCATTGAGATATAATAATTCATCAATATGAATACGAAATATAACGAAGAAAATATAACATGTCACAAGAAAACAATACAAAATCTATCAGAATAGAGCAACAACAACAATAAAATAGTGCAACAATCGAAATACAATACACAATATATTTGAATAGATTATCAAAAACAATAATAAATATTGATGAATATCAAAAACAAGAATTACAGTAATACAATTAGTATGCTGGCAAGCATCAACTATCCTAAGCAAGACAACACTACACTATCTACTAACATTCTACCCTAGTATGTGTTCTCCACACTTTCCCATCAAAGATCATGCTATCAGTAATTTGAAGTTGCGTTATATTCTGTCTTATCACCTCTCCCTAATATTATTTTTTTGTCTACCCTTGCCTCTTCACATACCCTCCATAAACAACCTCTTGCACCTCCTCACTAGTGCATTTACGCATCTTTTCTTTACATATTCAAATCATCTTAAATTCACTTTTCTCTCACCTTATTCCAAATATTTTAATTTCTAATCGTATGCTCTTAGTATAACCACACACTTTAGCATTCTTATTTTCGCAACATGTATTTGCTCAATATGAGACTTTGACACTCCACTCTATACAACAATCTATTTAATATATAAAATCATAGTAGAACCTCTATTTGGATAAGAATATGACTCTTTTATGACTCATACTTTTTGATAAGATCTCAAGATATTAGTTTATGTTGGTAAAAAGGGGGGAAAGAAAAGTTATAGATAAGGAAGATGACACAAAAGAATAGCTAGCATATACACTACTTTAATGGAAGTGAGAACTAAGTCAGCATCATGAGTTGCCAATAGGATGTTGAATATGACAAATAAATTTTTAAATATTATTACTAGCAAATATTTTTCATCATATTTGATAATTACTATTATTTCAATATCCATATTAACAAGAAACCTAATTATAATTAGACCCCTCCACCCGGCTAGCTTCACTCAAACACATTAATAAAAAAATTAAAAACATTATCTAAATCATAAATAAAATTGTCAACAATACAAGGGTTTTATATCTCTTATATTATTTTTCAAGAAAATATTAATATGTCACGTCAACATGAATGCAAAAAATTAATTAATGAAATGCACCATACACTCATTTATCATTCCACACGTTGTAGACACGAATACTGTCAACGCTGTTTTAATTCTTCTTTGCTTTGAAGACTTGTGGTAATTACTATACCTAACTGATAAGATATTTTTTTGCCGGCCACACGGTATACATTCTTAATCAGAAGTTTCGATTGAAGTCTCTCTAGATATAAAATCATTTTTGTTAGGAAGTGCTTTATATATTTAATTATACTACAAAATAATATATCTATTCTAGTCATAATCTAAGTCAAACCCAAAAAAAAAAAAAAGGAGTAAAAAATTATTCTTCTATGATTTAAAATTAAATTTGAGATCTTTAATTTAACGAGGAAATTTTATTCATTCCTTTATAACAATGAAATTCATTTGTTATAGACTTTTCAACTATAATTTGGCTATGTGTATATCAATTTTTAACCTATTTCTCCGGACCAAATAATATTTTTTTCCGACTTACACACATTTTTTTCTTATTTATGTGGATATAAAAAAGTTAAAACAACTATCCTTTTCCAATTAGGTTTTTTTTTTTGCTAAAGTAAATGGCACAATAGATTTTATTTATTTAATTTTTATTTTTTTTAAAAGAAGGAACCTTCCTTTTATTCCTATTGGTTTAATATTTCTTAAATCTTCCTTTAATTTGCAAACCACTTTTCCTCTTCTCACCTCCTTTTTATCCCTTCACACACACATCCCACACGCACAAACAAATACAATATAAGTAAACACTCACCAATTCTCAAATTCCCATCATTCTCCTCTTTCACCCACTCTCCTCCCAACACATACAAACATATTATTTCTCGTTTTCATTCCATATTCGATATTCATTTTGAATTCAATTGATTCAAAAGCCCGCCCTCTTGGTCCAAACGCAAGACTTTTGATTAAAAGCAGACATATATATATACTCCGTCTTCACACACCTTTCATACATATTTTTGATTTCTCATTCAGTGCTCGAAATCAGAAATTGAACTCGAAACTTCTGAGTAAGAAAAAAAAACAAGAGTATCATGAATAGTTATATTCCCATTACCGATTCCAAACAAGAAACCGAAATTCCTAATTACTACTACGATTCATCATCTTCTCCAACTGGATGTGGATTGTGTAGTTGTTTAAAGTTTTCCTGTTTCAATTGGGGCAAAGGTAATGAAGTTCACAGCAGATCTCTCCTACAAGACCATGAAACAGAGCACAGAGAGTCATGGCTGGTGATATTGAAGAATTTATTAAGAAAAATGAATCGTAATTCGAAGAAATCGAAAGCTCAATTTCAGTATGATGCTCAGAGTTATGCTCTGAATTTTGATGATGGAGCTCGTGTGGAAGAAGATGGGCTTTTGTGTAATTTCTCAGCTAGGTTCGCTGTCCCTGTTATTGCTCAAAAACAGAGCAAAAATGGTTTGTGACACTTTTTTATTTTAAAAGTATTGAAAATGTTATTAATATAATTAGAGTACTATCTTCTTTTTTATTGTTTTCCACTCTGGTATTGAAGTTCGATTAAATTGAAATTTGTATCACAAATTACATATTGAGGGTAAAATACTCCCTATTAAAAATAAAAGATAAAAGAGTACTTATCGTTCGGAAGTTTTTACTTGGATTCTATGTAAATAAATTTCATCAAATACGTATAAGCAATGAATTTTTCGTTCCAATAAATTAGAAGAGTTGTGGTGGAATCTCGATTCAAGTTCATCAAGTTTAAATCCATGGATGTGTCTTTGATTGGACGGAGCTAGAGGGTTGTTTATTGATTCATGTGAAATTGTGAACCCTAGTAACTTTTATTCAGACTTTATATTAATATATTAAGAAATTTACTGAATATTTAATTACTATGAACTCAATTATTACTAAAAATTTGAGATCGCTATAAAAATCTAAAGAGCTTCAAATATTAGATTTTCGATAGACAAAAGTATAGCACATCAAAACAACAACCATTTTAAAATCAAAATCTAACACTTTAAGTTCATCCGACTTTTGTATATATACATATAAAGTCTAAATTTGAGACATTGAATGAACATGCACTCGCAACTTATAAGTTGAAAATCCGTCTCACTAATCGAACATCGAAAGTATTTTACAGAACAGAAAATGACTTTCGTCATATCAAACATATTCTTTTAAGTTCCCCTTAATACATGATGTTCTCACTTCTCCCTGTCATGTAAAGTGATCATTTCTTGATTTTTCACCTGCACTATATATTTTTTACCAAGATATTAGGATAAAGTTAGTAAAATATATTATTTGGAGTAACAATAATTAATTAATTAGTAAATTAATCTACCTTTTGCGTTTGCTTTTTTGTGTAGAAGATGATGATGGAGTAGAGTGCCAATTTCTTTTCCTTTGGTTAATGAACCAATTATTGACTTGTTTTAATTGCAATCCTGTATCTTTCACTAATTTTGCTTTATCTTCCTCCTATATTTAAGTAACATAAACAACAAGAAAGTTAAGTTTTATGCACTAAAATAAGACAGTTCGATGCACGAAGCATTTCATATTCACGTAGTGTTGGGACTTTCCCCGGGGGAGAGCTCTAACAAGACGCCCTAAGACTCATGTGTGGGGCTTAGTTCTGTGAGAGTTGTGTCCTAAGTGCCCGACTGTACGTCCTAAGTACGCTTAACATCTAACAGATCTTACATAAATTATGTGTTAAATTCTTTAGTTAACAATAAAACAAATTATGGTATACTGAAAGGTTGCACCTTGAAACATAAACGAATTCAAGATTTGAACTTTAATATGATTACTAAATTCTACGTCAATAATAATTTCAAGTGCTAGTCTATCGATCCCGTAACTTAATGTCTACATTTGCACGTGCCCCAAGAAGGTGCATAATGTGGGCTGCCTAACTGATGACTGACACCAACATCAATAGCTAATTCCACGGTTCAAACTCGCAACTTAATGTGTATAGTAGTACTTACTGTGGGATAAGGCCACTTGGAATGTGATTTCCACCAAGCTTTTAAGGCAGAAGTAGTGTCACCAGGCAGCTTTCCTGCTCTTCTTTTTCTTAAAATTTCTTCTCTAATGTCAACAATCTTCCCCTTGTAATCCTAGAAAACCCAAAAAAAAAAAAAAAAAAAAAAAAAAAAAA